ATAGTTTGATAGTGCTTAGAGTCGGGTATTCAGTCCTGTACCTAAGGCACAAAAGTGCTTGTAAGAGGCGGGTAGATAAGTCCCGTCCTACAATCACTACAAACGAACGCTACAAGGCTGTAAAAGATGTATGGGTTAAATTCCCCGTAAGTCAAGATAAAATTGATTAATATGGTTGGCTTGTAGTGCTTTAATTAAAGGCTGCGGGGGTGTAAAAAACAGAAGGGTTAAATTCCCCGCAGATCATGATAAGATTGATTAATGCGGTTACCTTTCGTGGTGCTTTAAATGTATAAAATGGCTGTAATTGTTATATGGTGGGTGATAGAGGAGGAGAGAGACGCGACCTCCAACTAATTATTTGGAACGACCGACTCTCATCACAAAACTGCTGTGGGGTTAATCAGGCTCATTAAACGTGACGATAAAGAGATTTTGTTGACTGGTTTCCGACTCCTTGCCTGAAGCCGCAATCGCCGTAAGGGGGTTGTAGAAGCTTGCTTCAGGAAGTCACGCTATCTGTTGAAATATACATCGCACAATAAAAATCTGCCTGACTGTATGGGATCAAATGTGTGTAAAACTGCAAACATAATTTAAGAACACCACTCTGTACAGAGATAGAATTCAGATAGTACAAAGTCTGCAAAAGGGACTCTGTGTGATTTTTTAAGTCAAATCTGTGTAATAATTGAGATAAAAGCATAATTGACACTAGTGGAGATAGATTTGCAGTATCAGTGAGCGGGGACAACTTCATTCGTGGTCAGCTGCTGCCCTCTGGTGGCGAACAGGGAGTGTTACAATATTCTAAACAAATACACACAGGACGTTAAGAGTAAAGACAATAATTGCCCAGTATATTAAATAAATACAAACGAACACGTATCAACAAAGTCAGATAATATAAAACGAGGTCAATCATGGAAGGAGATTTTGAAAAAATTATATAAGCGTTCCAATTTCCGGAAGCTTCCGCGAGCAACTGGTCAGGTGCTACCATCTGGTGGCCAATAGGGTGTGGCACAAAACAAACAGACTAATGATAAATTAAGGTTTGGCTCCATCTGCTGGACATATATTATATTATATTATTTTTAGAATTTGAACGAGAAGAACAGTGGGGGACCGGAAGAAGGCTGACATTTAATGCCTGATGTATAAGTAATAATAATATATAATATATAGCTGATATTTAATATCTGATGTATAAGGCTAGATATTTCTGAAAATAAGAACACCGTCAACGGCATTCTATTTCAGAAAAAGGGGGGATAGGATATACCATCAGGCAATATGTATGTGAGATTATTACGTTTTTAAGAGAAATTGATACATTTAAAATAATCTAGCTTTGGTTATTTTTTGTTTTGTTTGTTTGTTCCTTTTTTGTTCGGTTTTGTTTTATTTTTGTTTTATTTTTTTTATTTTTTATTTTTTGTTTATTGTTTTCTGTATAGTCTCTTGTCCACACTCCAGTCTAGTTGGTGGCGGTAATGCACCTACAAGTTGGTTTGCCAACCGCCAATAAACACTAAAGAAGTAGAAAAGATGAGTTCAAAACCATATTTCCAGCAACTTAAGGGCTTGGTATGAGACTTCTCCACACAGGTTGCTGACGCCAAAGGGGGACCCGAGAAACACGAGGCCAACACAGCAGAGTTCGTCTGGCTGAATGCCATCAGGCCTAAGTGGCTCAACCCCAGGTTTTTCGGCCCCTACCGAGTGACCCAAAGGACCTCCCATGCCGTCCGCCTAGATGGAAAGGGAGACAACTGGTACCACTGGAGCCAGTGTGCGGTCGGGAAAACACCTGCGAGGACCCTAGACGACATCAGGACAGATCTGGCCCTCATCAAGGCAGTCGACCCAGGAGGCGCCATCAGCGGACCGGAGGAGGGGGATCGGGACGTCTCTCCAGCATCGACCCGGAAGCCGCCATCAGCGGGCCGGAGGAGGAGAATCCAGAAGACATCTCTCCAGCATCGACCCGGAAGCCGCCATCAGCGGGCCGGAGGAGGAGAATCCAGAAGACATCTCTCTAGCAGGCAGCCCAGATGCCGCCGTCAGCGGGCTGGGGGGACGAAGACACCAGCAAACCAAGACGGCACAGAGAACTCCACTTCCCGCTGAAACAGGTTGATATAGCCGGTGTGGAACTTTGTTTGAACAATCCATTTTTTGGAGGAACTTTCAACTTTATTTTTATATCCCATAATTTAAGGGATTTGTATTTTTTTATTCTACAGAACTATGTGTTACCAAAAGAGGGAAAAGTTTAATAATGTCTTTTCTAATTTCTGTGGCTACTTTTATTGCCATTTTGGTGACATGTGGTTGTTGTTGTGTGCCTTGTATCTGCTCATTGTGTGTTAGACTCATCAGTTCCACCATTGAGGGAAAAGTTATCAGTTCCACCATTGAGGGAAAAGTTGCCCTTTCCCCTTCGTACCAAATGCCCTTGTTGGCTTATGCGTCGGAGGGGGGAAGAGTATGGTGACTCAGCTGACAAGGACGAACTTTTTAAAAGCATATTTTATTCTCCCTCCACTGTCATAAGAAGTTGTTGTTGTGGACTGTTCCTAAAGGTTTAAAGTGCTCTAAATCCCAGCTTCTGATGGATTTATATAAATGTTGGGACAGACACAGTAGAAAAGAATGACAGTGGTTATGTTTCAAATGCTATATGTTGATCTCGTGAGGTGAGATCAAAAGAGGGATTGAAGTAAAAAGATATGATTCTAAACTGTATTGAAGTAAACATGTATTGTTTGAACTGTTTTAAGTAATCACATATATAGAGATTATATTCTCACTTACAACTCACTGACACAGAGATCCTGTTTCACCCACACACACAGCTCCTTCTCACCAGAGCGCACACACATGTTCTTTTCAAGGTTCTTTCTGGGGTATCAGTATGTTCTTTCTGGGCTCATTATATCTATGTACAATGTTTAATTGTCTGAGAGTAACAGTTTATGTGAAATATTCCATGGGAAAATAAGGGAGTGAATACCGGTGCAGAGATAAGATTGACTTTGACCTTGTGGAAACTTAGAATCTCACGTTCTGGTCAGAACTCTGATTCGCTGTATTGAACCCGACCAGAGGTGGATCCAACCAGTAAGGACACCTGGGGGAGTGAGCAGCTCACACAGCTCCTCCCCACGGACTCTCTGATTCGCTTCGGAGTAAAATGGGAAGGAAGAGTTGACACATCTCCGCCCCAAAATATGGCTATAAATACTGTTGTTTTTGTATGTAAAAATACTTCTGGTTTGCTGAAAGCTGGTCTAGAGACGGTAAACCGCATCACAAACCTGGAGTCCATACTTCTCGTTTTCTGAAAGCTGGTCTGTCTACCTGTAAACCGCATCACAAACCTTAAGTCCGGAGTACTCTGTATAACTTGTATATGTGTTTTGTTTCCTACCAGAGTAAACTCAGATAATTGTTATAACTTTTGATTCCGGTGTTTTAAATTCCTTTCTTTATTAAATAGAGATCAGCCTCATCCAACGAACGGCGCGTAGCAGAGGGGGTGGCTATCAGCCACCACAATAGGTGTTCTGCTCCAACAAGAGCCATGGGATATCAGCCTGCCTCAACAAATGTTGTTTGTAATGTAAATAAGCTTTGATGTCCTCCTATAAAGAGCGCCTGTTTCACTCAGAACAGTACGTGCTCTTAGGTGGAGACGTCATACTTGCAAGTATAAAAGATCTTTGATACCTTTAATACGAATATTGTGTTGCTGTACGTTTGTTACCTAACTGATCATTTTATCTAGACCGCAGCTGATTTGAAGTTGCTACGACACTTCTTCCTTCGGGCCGGAGGTTAGTCGTCCCAAAGAGTAGAACGAAGCGGTATAAAACAGTTTTATCCCAGCAGCTATTGCACAAATGAACACATCATAGGAGCGCCACACAGATGCCTATTTATTTAAAGGGGACCTATCATGCAAAATGCACTTTTGCACGTCTTTTCTACATGAATATGTGTCCCCGGTGTTCCAGGGAACTCACCAAGTGTCAGAAAACACAACCCTCTCTATTTTCCTCCATACCCAAATCTCTAAAAAAGGGGCTGCAACGGATCTGATAAAAACTGATCCAGATTTGAACACTGTCCTGACGTCAGGACGGTGGCGCTACGGCTATTGGGCCAACTCCACCAATCAGGAGGAGACAGCCACGGCCATTGCCGTTCGAAAGCGCTGGAGACGCTGTAGTACATATGTCAGGCCTGTAGGTGGTGCTGTTCTCACTGAATCAGCCCTTACAAAAACAGAGCTAAAAAATGTCAAATTGAGTGAAATGAGGCATGGCTAAAATGCATGATCTGTTTGGTATTTTGAAAAAAAAAAAGTATAAATATGCCTTATATAGGTATGGTCCTACACTATATTATTATAATATAGCATGATCGGTCCACTTTAATTAAGAATTTTGAATGTCCATGTTTGTACTAGTGCTTTCCTTCTTAAATGTTTTTGAAATAGATTTGACGGAGCAGAGTGTACTTGTACTTTTTATTAGTCCTTTTATTATTAAATATGTGTCTGTTGTTTGTGTTTGTTTTTAGAGTGTATCAGGAGGATGGATAGATCCCTTGTCTTTATCTCTGCAAACAAAATCTACCTACGGGTACAAATAAAGAACCTGAACCTGAACCTGAACCTGAACCTGAACCTGAACCTGAACAAGGAGCAAATGGACGTCACTTAGAATATAAATAACTGAAGTTTGATTTAAAATGCTAAAATGCATCCAATCAGCATTTCCTCTTCATGTCATGGATCTTATTTCAGAGACAGTGGAAAACCCCCAACATGCAGAAACGTCTCTTTTAGCAGCAACAGCGTAAATCCTGAGATTTCTAAACTTCCTGTAAAGTTTGTAATTTTGAACCCGGAGAGGAAACGTTTCAAAACCTGCAGAAACTCGTTCGTCTGACGTCAGCTGGGACGAAACAGGAAGTGACTCCTTCATCATAAAAACACAGACTGAGTTAACGAGCTGCTTCTGATTGGAGTCCTTCACACGGTGAGTTCTGCTTCATTACTATAACATTATATAGTGTTTCACTTACAGTATATGCGTGTTCAAAATGGGATTTCCTATAAATGAATGGGCCAAATGCGTCATTATCTTTGCTATATATTTATTAAAATGTGAGGAAAAGAACATATTAAAAAAAGTACATTAAAAAATAATTAATTAAGTTTAATTTCAATTTTCTGAATCTTTTAATTTGACATTTTCAATTTGGTGCATGAGAAGTGCTCTGCAAATACAGCTTTATTATTATTATTATTATTATTATTATTATTATTATTATTATTATTATTATTATTATTATTATTATTATTATTATTATTATTATCATCATTAGGTTTTTGGGTCATTTTTCTGTAATTGTTTTTACATACGTGTGGAGGTCAACGGGTTTCTGAATGTGTTCAATCTTGATTGGGGGGTGTGTGTGTGTGTGTGTGTGTGTGTGTGTGTGTGTGTGTGTGTGTGTGTGTGTGTGTGTGTGTGTGTGTGTGTGTGTGTGTGTGTGTGTGTGTGTGTGTGTGTGTGTGTGTGTGTGTGTGTGTGTGTGTGTGTGTATTTTGGAATTGTCTGATAAAATATAACACTTGGAAGAATAAGGGATCAACCATGTTTTACTGTTTTAATTATATTTGTAAGATTTATAATATTTATTTCATTATTTTAAAAGCTTTAAAATGCTTAATCTAATTAAATTGGTATATATTAAAAAAATATATACTGAGATGTTCAGGTGCAGTTGTGTACTAAATATATAAAATAAAAATAAGATATTATAAATAAATAATATGTAAATACAAAAATATGAAAAATAAACAAAAATAAATAAATATTATAAGCTTTAATTTCTTTAAAAATGTGCTTTAAGAATAATGTCAAATGTAATCAACCACTTTATTTAACATTAGACTCCCTGTGTTTTGTACAAAATGTGTTATTATCTGAACAGGAAGTCACATTACTTCATGTTCTTACGCTAAAAAGTACTCTCTGTGTTTTCCTCATTTTCAGAGAAAAGGAGGAAGGTGAAAAGGTGAAAAGGGGAATTGGCAAACGTCCTGAGTCTCGACACCTCCCTGTGTGCGTCCACCCTCTAAAAACACAACATTATTTATGAGAATCATCTAAAAATAATCATATTTCTGTCCGTCTTCCTGGAAACTCATCCCCATAATTAAACGTTTATCTGGGTTAGAGTAAAGATAGAATTAGCCGAGATGCTAACGGAGCTAAATGTCACCACGATGTTGAACTTCACGACCGCGCCCCCCGTTGGCGGTTGCCCTCCGGTCGGGATCCAACTCGAGGGTCTCATCCTGCCCCCCGTCCTCACCATCGACGTCACCCTGGGGCTTCTGGGTAATGCAGTTGCCCTGTGGATCTTCTGCTTTAAGGTGAAGAAGTGGAACCCCAACACGCTGTTCCTCTTCAACCTGGTGATCGCAGACTTCCTGGCGCTGGTCAGTCTGCCTCTCAGGATCCACGCTCTGATCGTCCGTCACTGGGTGTTCGGAGACGCCATGTGTCGGATCAACCTCTTCCTGATGTTCTCCAACCGCTCAGCTAGCATCGCACTGATGACCGTGGTGGCCATCTACCGCTACTTCAAGGTGAGGGGATCAAATCTACCGCCAACAGTCGTGTGTTGACAGGGTTTAGCTAACGCTCTGTGTTTCAAAAGAGTTGCAAAGAGAGACCAATCTGAAAATTGGTCTCAAAATAATGAATTCTCTCGTGATTTTTGTACGAAGAATATCATTTCTTATGTGTTTTCATCCTAAAATGGTGCCAGAATGCTAACGTTAGCGCTCTCTCTGCAGGTGGTCCACCCTCACCACCGGGTGAACCTCATGACGAGGCGTCAGGCTGCGTTCGTGTCTCTGATCGTCTGGTTTCTGGTGATCGGCCCCCGTGTTCCCATGCTGGCCTTCAACCACATTAAGAGGCGCGGCCATCGCTCGCAGTGCTTTTTCTTCACCTCCTACAAGGTGAGAGAACTGCTAGCAGAGGTGGAAGTAGTGGAGAACAAATACTTTGTTACTGTACTTAAGAACATGTTTCTGGTATCAGTACTTTACTCCACTACTTATTTTTCTGACCACTTTTTACTTTGATTTCTTACATGTTGAACCCAAATACCTGTACTTTCTACTTCTTACATGTTGAACTCAAATACCTGTACTTTCTACTTCTTACATGTTGAACCCAAATACCTGTACTTTCTACTTCTTACATGTTGAACACAAATACCTGTACTTTCTACTTCTTACATGTTGAACACAAATACCTGTACTTTCTACTTCTTACATGTTGAACACAAATACCTGTACTTTCTACTTCTTACATGTTGAACACAAATACCTGTACTTTCTACTTCTCAAATGTTGAACACAAATACCTGTACTTTCTACTTCTTACATGTTGAACACAAATACCTGTACTTTCTACTTCTCACATGTTGAACCCTAATACCTGTACTTTCTACTTCTCACATTTTCCAAACAGGCTGGTTCCTTTAGTTTGAATGTGTGTTTGGTGGCGTGATCATTATTATTTAGAGTCATTGCGTGCCTATTGATTTGAACACGATCCGTGTATCCATCATTTCCTGGTCTTCTCTAAAGAAGAGGGACCAATGAAAACGTTGTCATGTTGCCGTTGTTCAGCATGGAAACATTCATTAGCTAACAATGACATTATTGTTCTATTAATATAAAGGGAGGTCAGGTACTCTTTAAAACAGCTGCTAGTTATGGGTACTTTTTACTGAAGTACATTTCAAAGCCTCTTTACTTTGACTTGAGTGAAGAAGTTTAGTCAGTACTTCTACTTTCACCAGAGTATTTTTAAACACGAGTATCTGTACTTCTACTCGAGTAAAGTGTGTACTTCTACTTGAGTAAAGGATGTGCTTCTTCTTCACGTCCTGTAGGAGGCGTCTCGCTCCATCCTCATCTTGCTGAAGATGCACCGCATCCTGACGGTTCTGGAGTTCTTCCTGCCGGCCGCCATCTTGCTCTTCTGCTCCGTCAGGATCCACAGCTTCCTGCGAGGACGACAGATCGGGAACCCGGAGAAGGTTTGTCTTTGATCTGTCCTTTATTTCACAGAGAGGGATCCATCTACCTTTGACCTCCTTCTGTCCCTTATAGTCTAGCAGTGTGAACCTTGTGTAAATGTCCCAACATCTGCAGCTTAGCATCCGGCAGCTTCTATGTGCTGGAGACCCTACTCTACATTTCTATCATAACACGTTTGGGTACTCAACATTACCCGGGTTTGTGTGCGTGTGTGTGTGTGTGTGTGTGTGTGTGTGTGTGTGTGTGTGTGTGTGTGTGTGTGTGTGGTGTGTGTGTGTGTGTGTGTGTGTGTGTGTGTGTGTGTGTGTGTGTGTGTGTGTGTGTGTCTGTGTGTGTGTGTGTGTGTGTGTGTGTCTGTGTGTGTGTGTGTGTGTGTGTGTCTGTGTGTGTGTGTGTGTGTGTGTGTGTGTGTGTGTATATTGGACATTTGTGTGTAACGTTTTAAATATTATTTTAGACATTTTCTGCTTTTTTTTTCAATTTTCTGAATATTTGAACATATCTTTTTTACACATCTTTAGATTCTGGTGTACATTTTTCATGCAAAGTGCTGTACGAATAAAGTTTCATATTATTCTGATCCTCACTAGGTGCGTAAGGCGATGCGTGTGTGTGTGGCCATCGTGCTGGTCTTCACGCTGTGTTTCCTGCCCACCACCCTCTCCACCCTCGGGCTCTGGTTCATCACCTCCTTCAGACCCTGGGACTGCGCCTCCTTCTACTCCTTCACCCAGATCACCATCGTGTCTCTGGGGATCAGCTCCCTGAACTCTGCTCTGGACCCCGTGGTCTACGTGTTCTCCAGCTCCACCTTCAGGAGGGCTCTCTGCGGCTCGCTGCCCAGGAGCCTGCGCTGCTGCGGGAGGGAAGAGGAGGCGCAGTCATCCTCCTCCACGGGGACTCAGAGCACCGTCCAGCAGGAGCTGAAGACCATCAGGAGCTGAAGACCATCAGGAGCTGAAGACCATCAGGACCTAAGAATTTCATCGGCATAACTGTAGCTATGTTCGTATGACAAAATAAAGAACCTTGAACCTTGAGCTGAAGTCCATCAGGGGAAGAGGAAGAGATGTGTGTGTGTGTGTGTGTGTGTGTGTGTGTGTGTGTGTGTGTGTGTGTGTGTGTGTGTGTGTGTGTGTGTGTGTGTGTGTGTGTGTGTGTGTGTGTGTGTTGAAGTAAAAAGATATGATTCTAAACTGTATTGAAGTGAACATGTATTGTTTGAACTATTTTAAGTAATCCCATATATAATGTCTTCTCACTTACAACTCACTGACCCAGAGATCCTGTTACACACACATGCAGCTCCCTTCTCACCAGAGCACACACACATGTTCTTTTCAAGGTTCTTTCTGGGCTCATTATATCTATGTACAATGTTTAATTGTCTGAGAGTAACAGTTTATGTGAAATATTCGTTGGGAAAATAAGGGAGTGAATACCGGGGCAGAGATAAGATTGACTTTGACCTTGTGGAACTTAGAATCTCACGTTCTGGTCAGAACTCTGATTCGCTGTATTGAACCCGGCCAGAGGTGGATCCAACCAGTAAGGACACCTGGGGGAGTGAGCAGCTCACACAGCTCCTCCCCACGGACTCTCTGATTCGCTTCGGAGTAAAATGGGAAGGAAGAGTCGACACATCTCCGCCCCAAATTATGGATACAAATACTGTTGTTTTTGTATGTAAAAATACTTCTGGTTTGCTGAAGGCTGGTCTAGAGACGTGTAAACCGCATCCCAAACCTGAAGTCCGTACTTCTCGTTTCCTGAAGGCTGGTCTGTCTACCTGTAAACCGCATCACAAGCCTGAAGTCCGGAGTACTCTGTATAACTTGTATACGTGTTTTGTTTCATACAAGAGTAAACTCAGATAATTGTTATAACTTTTGATTCCGGTGTTTTCAATTCCTTCAAGTTGGAATAGTTTGATAGTGCTTAGAGTCGGGTATTCAGTCCTGTACCTAAGGCACAAAAGTGCTTGTAAGAGGCGGGTAGTTCAGTCCCGTCCTACAACTCACTAGAAACGAACGCTGCAAGGCTGTAAAAGATGTATGGGTTAAATTCCCCGTAAGTCAAGATAAAATTGATTAATACGGTTGGCTTGTAGTGCTTTAATTAAAGGCTGCGGGGGTGTAAAAAACAGAAGGGTTAAATTCCCCGCAGATCATGATAAGATTGATTAATGCGGTTACCTTTCGTGGTGCTTTAAATGTATAAAATGGCTGTAATTGTTATATGGTGGGTGATACAAGAGGAGAGAGACGCGACCTCCAACTAATTATTTGGAACGACCGAATCTCATCACAACTCTTGCTGTGGGGTTAATCAGGCTCATTAAACGTGACGATAAAGAGATTTTGTTGACTGGGTTCCCACTCCTTGCCTGAAGCTGCAATCGCCGTAAGGGGGTTGTAGAAGCTTACTTCAGGAAGTCACGCTATCTGTTGAAATATATATCGCACAATACAAATCTGCCTGACTGTATGGGGATAAAATGTGTGTAAAATTGCAAACATAATTTAAGAACACCACTCTGTACACAGTACATACTGTAAACAGAGATAGAATTCAGATAGTACAAAGTCTGCAAAAGGGAATAGACTCTGTGTGATTTTTTAAGTCAAATCTGTGTAATAATTGAGATAAAAGCATAATTGACACTAGTGGAGATAGATTTGCAGTATCAGTGATCGGGGACAACTTCATTCGTGGTCAGCTGCTGCCCTCTGGTGGCGAACAGGGAGTGTTACAATATTCTAAACAAATACACACAGGACGTTAAGAGAAAAGACAATAATTGCCCAGTATATTAAATAAATACAAACGAACACGTATCAACAAAGTCAGATAATATAAAACGAGGTCAATCATGGAAGGAGATTTTGAAAAAATTATATAAGCGTTCCAATTTCCGGAAGCTTCCGCGAGCAACTGGTCAGGTGCTACCATCTGGTGGCCAATAGGGTGTGGCACAAAACAAACAGACTAATGATAAATTAAGGTTTGGCTCCATCTGCTGGACATATATTATATTATATTATTTTTAGAATTTGAACGAGAAGAACAGGGAGTGTACTAGAACAGTGGGGGACCGGGAGAAGGCTGACATTTAATGCCTGATATATAAGTAATAATAATATATAATATATAGCTGATATTTAATAACTGATGTATAAGGCTCGATATTTCTGAAAATAAGAACACCGTCAACGGCATTCTATTTCAGAAAAAGGGGGGATAGGATATACATCAGACAATATGTATGTGAGATTATTACGTTTTAAAGAGAAATTTATCAATTTAAAATACTAGCTTTGGTTATTTTTTGTTTTGTTTGTTTGTTCCTTTTTTGTTCGGTTTTGTTTTATTTTTGTTTTATTTTTATTTTTTATTTTTTATTTTTTTGTTTATTGTTTTCTGCATAGTCTCTTGTCCACACTCCAGTCTAGTTGGTGGCGGTAATGCACCTACAAGTTGGTTTGCCAACCGCCAATAAACACTAAAGAAGTAGAAAAGATGAGTTCAAAACCATATTTCCAGCAACTTAAGGGCTTGGTATGAGACTTCTCCATACAGGTTGCTGATGCCAAAGGGGGACCCGAGAAACACGAGGCCAACACAGCAGAGTTCGTCTGGCTGAAAGCCATCAGGCCTAAGTGACTCAACCCCAGGTTTTCCGGCCCTTACCGAGTGACCCAAAGGACCTCCCATGCCGTCCGCCTAGATGGAAAGGGAGACAACTGGTACCACTGGAGCCAGTGTGCGGTCGGGAAAACACCTGCGAGGACCCTAGACGACATCAGGACAGATCTGGCCCTCGTCAAGGCAGTCGACCCAGGAGGCGCCATCAGCGGACCGGAGGAGGAGGATCGGGAGGACATCTCTCCAGCATCGACCCGGAAGCCGCCATCAGCGGGCCGGAGGAGGAGGATTGGGACATCTCTCCAGCATCGACCCGGAAGCCGCCATCAGCGGGCCGGAGGAGGAGAATCCAGAAGACATCTCTCTAGCAGGCAGCCCAGAAGCCGCCGTCAACGGGCTGGGGGGACGAAGACACGGCAAACCAAGACGGCACAGAGAACTCCACTTCCCGCTGAAACAGGTTGATATAGCCGGTGTGGAACTTTGTCTGAACAATCCATTTTTTGGAGGAACTTTCAACTTTATTTTTATATCCCATAATTTAAGGGATTTGTATTTTTTATTCTACAGAACTATGTGTTACCAAAAGAGGGAAAAGTTTAATAATGTCTTTTCTAATTTCTGTGGCTACTTTTATTGCCATTTTGGTGACATGTTGTGTGCCTTGTATCCGCTCATTGTGTGTTAGACTCATCAGTTCCACCATTGAGGGAAAAGCTGCCCCTTCCCCTTCGTACCAAATGCCCTTGTTGGCTTATGCGTCGGAGGGGGAAGAGTACGATGACTCAGCCGACAAGGACGAACTTTTTTAGACATATTTTAGTCTCCCTCCACTGTCATAAGAAGTTGTTATGGTGGACTGTTCCTAAAGGTTTAAAGTGCTCTAAATCCCAGCTTCTGATGGATTTATATAAATGTTGGGACAGACACAGTAGAAAAGAATGACAGTGGTTATGTTTCAAATGCTATATGTTGATCTCGTGAGGTGAGATCAAAAGAGGGATTGAAGTAAAAAGATATGATTCTAAACTGTATTGAAGTGAACATGTATTGTTTTAACTGTTTTAAGTAATCCCATATATAATGTCTTCTCACTTACAACTCACTGACCCAGAGATCCTGTTACACACACATGCAGCTCCCTTCTCACCAGAGGACCCACACATGTTCTTTTCAAGGTTCTTTCTGGGTATCAGTATGTTCTTTCTGGGCTCATTATATCTATGTACAATGTTTAATTGTCTGAGAGTAACAGTTTATGTGAAATATTCGTTGGGAAAATAAGGGAGTGAATACCGGGGCAGAGATAAGATTGACTTTGACCTTGTGGAACTTTAGAATCTCACGTTCTGGTCAGAACTCTGATTCGCTGTATTGAACCCGGCCAGAGGTGGATCCAACCAGTAAGGACACCTGGGGGAGTGAGCAGCTCACACAGCTCCTCCCCACGGACTCTCTGATTCGCTTCGGAGTAAAATGGGAAGGAAGAGTCGACACATCTCCGCCACAAAATATGGATATAAATACTGTTGTTTTTGTATGTAAAAATACTTCTGGTTTGCTGAAGGCTGGTCTAGAGACGTGTAAACCGCATCCCAAACCTGAAGTCCGTACTTCTCGTTTCCTGAAGGCTGGTCTGTCTACCTGTAAACGGCATCACAAGCCTGAAGTCCGGAGTACTCTGTATAACTTGTATACGTGTTTTGTTTCCCACAAGAGTAAACTCAGATAATTGTTATAACTTTTGATTCCGGTGTTTTCAATTCCTTTCTTTATTTAATAGAGATCAGCCTCATCCAACGAACGGTGCGTAGCAGAGGGGGTGGCTATCAGCCACCACAATAGGTGTTCTGCTCCAACAGTGTGTGTGTGTGTGTGTGTGTGTGTGTGTGTGTGTGTGTGTGTGTGTGTGTGTGTGTGTGTGTGTGTGTGTGTGTGTGTGTGTGTGTGTGTGTGTGTGTGTGTGTGTGTGTGTGTGTGTGTGTGTGTGTGTGTGTGTGTGTGTGTGTGTGTGTGTGTGTGTGTGTGTGTGTGCGTGTGTGTGGACTAAAGGACTAAAAATGCTACCAGAGAAATAAAACATTAGAAAGGTTCTGGCTGTCATTCTTACAAATCAAACTACATAACAAGGTCTGTGTTTGAGGTCACTGATAGATTTCATTCTTGATTTCTAAGAAGGTGCTTGCCAAAATATAAGCACACTTAGAAAGCAGGAAATGTGCTGATTAGTCATAAAATGTAACACTATATTTAAATGTAAAAGTTTAATTAATATTAGCTATAAAACGTGGCAGAAAAATAATCGTCCTCTTTTTCAAACAGT